CTCTCAGCTCCACCTTCGGACGAGTCCGTAGAGTCGAGTGGTCCTTACGCAGAGCTAGTGGGCTGCCTCATGTACCTGATGACCTGCACTCGACCTGACCTTGCGTACCCTCTTGGCCTTCTGGCTTGCTACGTGGCTCCTGGTCGGCACCGAAAGGTGCACATGGATGCTGCAAAGAGGGTACTGTGCTACATGTGCAGTACATCGGGCATGGGGCTCGTGCTTGGAGGACGGAGCGACGTTGTCCTCACTGGGCACTCAGACGCTTCTTGGGTTGACGACCAGGCTACGCAGCGGTCGTCACAGGGTGGTTACGCATTCAGCCTTGGCTGTGGCTCTGTTTCTTGGCGGTCTACTCGCTCCTCTTCTGTTCTCAGCTCCAGTTGTGAGGCTGAGATCTACGCCACAGCCATGGCTGCTCAGGAGTTGCGCTGGCTCACCTACCTGCTGACCGACTTGGGAGAGAGGCCTCGTTCTCCTCCAGTTCTGTACGTCGACAACAAGGCCGCCATTGCCTTGTGTCAGGAGCACAGACTGGAGCACAGAACGAAGCACATCGCTCTGCGTTACTTCTTGGCTCGAGAGTTGCAGCAGCGTGGTCAGCTTCGTCTTGCTCACGTGGCCACTAGGGCCAACACTGCTGATATATTCACCAAGGCACTTCCGCCTGGTGATCATCAGCGCTTTTGTACTTTGTTGGGCCTCGTGCCTACGTTTCCTCACTTGCTGTAGGCTTTGCTTGTACTGTGATCTATGTATATATACCTGCATGCCTGCTCTTGCTAGGTAGTGATCACTGTACTTTGTTTGTTGCATATATACCTCTGCATGTGAACTGGCCTTGTGGCCCTTTGCTTAGGCTCAGAATGCGTGGTGACTTTGTGATCCACCCTGAGCTTACTTTGCCTTTTCTGACTGGTCCTGTGACCTCTTGTTCTCCCCCACTTTGCCTATGGGGGTGTGTCAAACATATATGCTGCTTATTGTGTAGGCTGTAGTGGGGTAGCCCATATGGGGTACAACCCAGATTAGGGTTTCCTACTTGTACCCATCATGCTGCTAGTTCATTCAGTCCTGCCTGTACTTTCTGACAGAAAGTTGGAAAGTAGAATGTGGGACTAGGAATTGGAAGGCAAGAAAGCTAGAGTGCCATGTGGCACTTGGGAATCTTGGAAATCTTGGATGAGGGATTGGATGAAGATAGGGTTGGGATAAGGTTGGGGGCACTGTTTAGGGTAAACCATCCTTGAACAGTAAAGTACCCCGTAACACCTATACACAAAAGTTTCTGCACAGTAGGCATGAGGAAGGTGCCGAACCCTAGGCCCTGTTTGGAAGGCATCATGGCCATTATGGCCATTATGGGCATTTCTAACGGGCCCCCAAAAAATGCCACCTGGGCATTTCGAGAAACAGCTTTGAAATCGGGCTGTAGCTGCAGTGCACCTTCGAAAAAATGAGGCTGAATGTTTGGTTGGCATTAATTGGGTGTAGATTGATGGCATCAATCGAAATTTAGGGTTTCGCAGAAGATGGTAGGCAGTTGCGCATGATCATGTGATTGGCTGGCAGTCACTTTTGATTGCCCCGAATCACTGATACCCCGCATGGTGCGGGGCCTCGAGGCCGCATGGTGCGGGGTGTCCAAAAATGGGCTCTTTGCTAGGGAAAATGGGGTCGTTGAAGAAACGGTGGGTTGGAAATGCCATCGAATAACGGGGTGTTTGGTTGGCATTCCATTATTGTCAGGTTCGGCGTAGTCCGCTTATATCGAACCTTGATAATCTTTCACACGCTTATCAGGGAAGGTTCCAGGGTGATCGGTTCACCTGTAGCCCATCCCCCTCGCCCGGTTTTTTTATGCCTGCCAAACTGGGCCCTAGAATGGTAAGGGTTCAAGTTCAGGGCCCAGTTTGGCAGGCATTGTGGGCATTTTCGGCATTATGGCCATTTTTAACGGGTCCCCAAGAAATGGGGCCTCGAAACTGCCGCAAAATCAAACCGTTGTTGCATTCAACCTTCAGAATAACGGGCCGGAGTGTCTGGCTGGCATTCCATCGCGCAAAATTAATGGCATCAACCGAAAATCCAACTTCGCTGAAACCGGAGTGCACCTCCGCGCCAGGATCGCAAATCACTGTGCTGGCAGGTCGGGCCTGCCCTGCAAACAAGTGGTCCCCTGGAAAAAAAAAAAAAAAAATGAATGGGGAAACTGTGCCCTCCTACCTCTCCCTGGGGGAGTTTTTTTGCTTGATGCTGGCAGGAAGAGGGGTCAGAGAGGGCCGGAATATGTTTTTATCTGGGCAAGCAGTGATTGCCCCGAACCACTGATCCCCCGCACCATGCGGGACCTCGAGGCCGCATGGTGCGGGGTGTCCGAAAATGGGCTCTTTGCTAGGAAAAATGGGGTCGTTGAAGAAACGGTGGGTTGGAAATGCCATCGGATAACGGGGTGTTTGGTTGGCATTCCATTATTGTCAGGTTCGGCGTAGTCCGCTTATATCGAACCTTGATAATCTTTCACACGCTTATCAGGGAAGGTTCCAGGGTGGTCGGTTCACTGTAGCCCATCCCCCTCGCCCGGTTTTTTTATGCCTGCCAAACCGGGCCCAGGATTCTTGAACATGAGTTCGCCTAACACCAGGTAACCCGGTTTGGACCTCCCAAAAACTCGCGACCCCGGTAAAACTTCCTCGACCACTCGGCGCCATAGCGTAGGAATTGGAGTCTGTTCACAGCACATTCTCGGCCGTTGATCCTCCTCTCACTTTACCTATTTCCGTCACACTCCGCGCTCCCATGCTATCACCTTGTTGGGGTCGCGCCACGACGTCCCTCTGCTTATCGCGAACCTACACCGATAGCACACGACCGTCAGCGACGATCGCTTCTGCTGTTGCACTTATTCCACTCGGTTATTGTCACTCAGCTATCCTTCATGCGCCCAGCGCGCTCTCGACACCCATCGCACAGGTTACCCCCTTCTTCTGAAGCTCACTCTCATGAGCAGAGGCTTCGTTAGCATGTCGCACAGTCCGAGCCATCTCATGCCCACAGGTCCTTCACCAGCAACGGAAGCGACCAGCCCGCAAGCTCGAGAATAGCGTGTATCCCGCGCTTGTTCGTACTGCAGTTTTGTTCGCTTCTCGCTCCTCGTGTGTTCATCTCGCCGCTTGCTTCCGCGCATCAATCCATCCGAGTCGTTTCCGTTATCGAGTATTCGCACCACGTATCAGAGCCATCGCAAAAATCCTAAGCCTACTGTAAATGGTCTAGTCTACTGAGGCGTTTTTCCCGATGGTTCTGAGTCTCATAAAGTGTTGTTTACATGCTGTGCCAGATTGTGAGGGCAACTTGGCAATTTTGCGACGCATTTCAACCCAGTTCTGCCAATTTCGTGCTCAAGAAAATGTGTTTGGTTGCTTCGTGGAATGTGCAGACATTTGATCGACGGACGAAATTCCAAGCGATTTGTGCAACGGTCAGGATTGCGAATGTGATTCATGAAGTTTGTCGCGCCGCACTGCGTGGGATATTGTTGCGAGGAGCACGTAAACGACCTGGGGGCTGTGATTTCAGGATTTGTTGTTGGACGTTAGATCCTCTCGTATCGACGGTTCTAATTTCTCGGTGCGTAACGATTCGGCTCAAATCTGCCTGTAGCACGTAAACGACCTGGGGATGTAGGGGAGGTATCTCTGATTCTTGTAGCGTTGATTCAACGGTTGTGTTCCTGAAAGTTCAGGTTCATATTAGCTGCTCCGTTACGGGATAAATTCTGTGTCTGTTGGGGTTTGTAATTCACTCTGTATTTTGTCATGCGTTTCGCTTTCAGTTAAGTCCTGATTTTTTTTAAACGTTGTGAATTTGTGTACATGGCAAGCGGTTCGTGTTCGGATATGGCCGTTTAAGGTTCACACTGAGGTGGAACAGTAATCTTTCGTGGTACTGGCTATGAAGTTTTTCATTGCTAGATTGCGCTCGCGACTTGGCTTTTAATGACTTTTTAAGTGCGGGCAGTTGAATTGGCATTTCTGACCGTTCCAAAAGTGACTGGCGACGCGCCAGTTGCAGTACTGCTGATTGCGTTGTCGGTTGTTGGACTAGGTCGTGACTCGATTTCGCAGAGTGGTGTATGACTTGTTTTGACTCTTCGGCAAATTCGCCAAGGGGGCTCGCTAGCCAGCGATGCCTTCCCGTTGGTCGCGACGAAACGACAGCCAATCGAAAAAGGGGGGCGAAATTCGAGTTGTACTGTCATCGGGTCGCGTCAAATTCCAAACCATGATTTCAACAGATTAGAAATCGAGGCGCGCATTTTCCCACTAAGCGCGGCTCCAAATTTTACATCCGAATGCGGTAGAGAATGGTGAAAAGAAAAACAGAGCGTTTTAATATTCTAAGCAGATGGTTGGGTAGGGTTATCTGCAAATATGTGCATGATGGACCCGCCCTAACTCCAGAAGTGTGGATTCGTTTGGTGCAGCGGAAGTAATGCCTTGGAAGCAATGAGATCAATAACACCAGATCAGAGACATCATACAGCTTTACATTTCAAGACATCACAGGAACTCAGTTTGTTTCATTCCAGAGCCACTTTTTTCAGTTGTAGTCGTAGGAACGGCACAGTTTAATCATGGACCACGTACCTCCGGGTCATTGCAGTTTATGCGGTTCAGGCCCATTTCGACGTAGTGGAGGGCTTGAACGACACGTCGGAAGCAACCAATGCAGGCTGGCGCAAGCCAGCAATGCAGCGTGCAGACCCGCCAGCGATGGTGCAGAGAACGATGCGAACGGCACACGTCTTCCGAGCACTTTTCAGCCTATGGCCCGTGAGGTCCCTTTCTTGCCTCAAACGTTCGATGAAACTATGAGTCCTTGAGCTCCACTCGACGATGATGGGCCCGTGTGCGAGGATACCTCAGACTCAGAGGAACCGACATCCCCTTTTCATGAACGTGCTGCGATGCCTGAGGGGCCTTCGCGCTCGGGACAGGATGCGGAGCCTAGTCCTCCAACGCCGTTCTCCTTCGAAGATGAGCTATGTCGATGGGTTTTAAACGAGAAGTTGTCTCAACGGGCTGTAGTGGTGTTGCTGCGAATTCTCAACAAAAGCGGCAGTCGATTTGGCGAGGTTTGCGGCTGGAAGAGCCTTCGAGACTTATACAAATATGTGGCGACAAAAGCTGTCAACACGGACCGGTCATGGCAAAGTGGCGAGTGCCGAATCGCGGGGAAGGCGCTTCTGAAATATCACTTCTGCGACAGCCTCAAGGTAAGTCGTAGGTTAATCCCATTGCCTCAGATTCATGGGACTTAAAGCTACTCAGATTCTGATTCCATGCTTCCTTTCCCCCATTCATTATCTTCAACCCGGTTTCATATGATATTTCTCCATTTTTGGGTCTGTTCTATGACTATGGGTATTATTTTTTCCAGCCGTCAGACGCTTGAGGCTGTTGGTTACCCAACTGCTCATTCATTTCAGCATTTCCTCCCCTCAGTCTCCATCCATTCCTCTCCTTGAGACTCATTTCCTTCTCCCACCCCTCACTCCCCCTCATTGCTCTTCATTCTCCGTGTTTGCCCCTCTTCATCCCTCCCTGCACCTCATAATCTCTCCCCCACCCCTCACTCCCCCTCCCTGCTCTTCATTCTCCGTATTTGCCCCTCTTCATCCCTCCCTGCACCTCATAATCTCTCCCCCACCCCTCACTCCCCCTCCCTGCTCTTCATTCTCCGTGTTTGCCCCTCTTCATCCCTCCCTGCACCTCATAATCTCTCCCCCACCCCTCACTCCCCCTCCCTGCTCTTCATTCTCCGTGTTTGCCCCTCTTCATCCCTCCCTGCACCTCATAATCTCTCCCCCACCCCTCACTCCCCCTCCCTGCTCTTCATTCTCCGTGTTTGCCCCTCTTCATCCCTCCCTGCACCTCATAATCTCTCCCCCACCCCTCACTCCCCCTCCCTGCTCTTCATTCTCCGTGTTTGCCCCTCTTCATCCCTCCCTGCACCTCATAATCTCTCCCCCACCCCTCACTCCCGCTCCCTGCTCTTCATTCTCCGTGTTTTCCCCTCTTCATCCCTCCCTGCACCTCATAATCTCTCCCCCACCCCTCACTCCCCCTCCCTGCTCTTCATTCTCCGTGTTTGCCCCTCTTCATCCCTCCCTGCACCTCATAATCTCTCCCCCACCCCTCACTCCCCCTCCCTGCTCTTCATTCTCCGTGTTTGCCCCTCTTCATCCCTCCCTGCACCTCATAATCTCTCCCCCACCCCTCACTCCCCCTCCCTGCTCTTCATTCTCCGTGTTTGCCCCTCTTCATCCCTCCCTGCACCTCATAATCTCTCCCCCACCCCTCACTCCCCCTCCCTGCTCTTCATTCTCCGTGTTTGCCCCTCTTCATCCCTCCCTGCACCTCATAATCTCTCCCCCACCCCTCACTCCCCCTCCCTGCTCTTCATTCTCCGTGTTTGCCCCTCTTCATCCCTCCCTGCACCTCATAATCTCTCCCCCACCCCTCACTCCCCCTCTCTGCTCTTCATTCTCCGTGTTTGCCCCTCTTCATCCCTCCCTGCACCTCATAATCTCTCCCCCACCCCTCACTCCCCCTCCCTGCTCTTCATTCTCCGTGTTTGCCCCTCTTCATCCCTCCCTGCACCTCATAATCTCTCCCCCACCCCTCACTCCCCCTCCCTGCTCTTCATTCTCCGTGTTTGCCCCTCTTCATCCCTCCCTGCACCTCATAATCTCTCCCCCACCCCTCACTCCCCCTCCCTGCTCTTCATTCTCCGTGTTTGCCCCTCTTCTCCGTTGTTCCCTGCACCTCTTCATTCTCTCTTTCCCTTTCCCCCACCCCTCATTCTCCCTCCCTTCCTTTCATTCTCAGGGTTTGCGCCTCATCCTCTCTCCCTGCACCTCTTTCCCTTTCCCCCACCCCTCATTCTCCCTCCCTTCCTTTCATTCTCAGGGTTTACGCCTCATCCTCCCTCCCTGCACCTCTTTCCCTTTCCCCCACCCCTCATTCTCCCTCCCTGCCCCTCAATTGTCTTTCCCCGCCCCAGATTCACCCTCCCTGCCCCTCAATTCTCTTTCCCCACCCCACATTCTCCCTCCCTGCACCTCATTCTCTTTGCCCACCCCTCATTCTCCCTCCCTGCCCCTCAATCTCGGTGTTTGCCTCTCATCTTCCTTTCCTGCTCCTCATTCTCTCCCCCCTACCCCTCATTCCCCCGATCTGCCCCTCATTTGCACTACTGTGCCCTCGACACCCAGGCCATGAAGTCCCTCTTGAGCGATTCCCGCAACGCTCAAGGACTCGTCACACGAGCCCATCGGAAGATTGTTAATGGCGTTCGTGTGTACGATGCACCCGAGACGGCAGATTTCTGGAACAACGTCCAGGTACGTTGCAGGTTGTTGGTCGGGGCATGGCCATGTGTAATACGCTCGCGTCACAATTGTTCTTGACTGCTTCCACCATTCTACAACTCACTGTTTTCCCAATCAGGATAAACTTGGACCGGATGATGTTGTTGCAACCATCATTCTCGCCTCGGAAGAAACGATGATGGACTCGAGAGGGAAGACCAAAGGACATCCCATATACATGTCGCTGGCCAACATCGCAAGCGAGGACCGTTGGAAACCACACGGTCATGCGATGATTGCATTGCTTCCGGAATTTCCTCCAGAGTACACCCCGCTTGACCGTCTACAAGTATTCCATAAGGTTCTTGGCAAGGCGTTGCAACCCCTCAAGGCCGCCAGTCATGTGTAAGTTCAAGTTCATTGGTGTTGTTAGCCCAGCAACATTTGTGAGTGCGTGGATTCTTCTACAATTTTTACTAACCGTTTTGCTTTCCTTTTGCACGTGTTCCAAACAGGGGCGCTCGGGTAGAAGACGCATCGGGCCATTCATTCACTGCATACCCAGCGCTGTATGCTTACATCGCGGACTACCCAGAGACATGTAAAGTAACTTGTACAAAGTCGCTGGGTACAACTTACCCCTGCTCACTCTGCACTGTCCACAAAGATGACCTGGCTGAATACCAGACACACTTAAAATGGCGCACCGTCCAGCAGCAACAAGACATTTGCGCAGCCCTAAAAGCACCAAGACGACGTGGGGAGGCAGGAGTGGAAGACCTTTCAACCCATCCTGTCGAGGTCAGTTGTTCATGGTGTCTAAGTTGGTTTTATCACATGTTTCACCTTTCCATACCTCTGTTTCCTTATATTTGTTATCGCTTGTATATGCAGAGCGCACTCTGGGGGTGGAGGTTTGAGTCGGAACAATGGGGGAACCCACACCTAGCAGTAATGCCGGATCTCATGCACCAGGCGGACTTGGGCATTCTCGATCATATCCTCACTGCCTTGCGTCAAATCATCCCCGAATCAACTCGTGACGCAATCGATAGGTATGAACTATTGTAATGTTGGCTCGTTTGTAGCCCTCCACGCACTAACTATTTCCTCACTACTTAGCGTTTTTTTCATGATCACATCAAATATCTCAAACAAATTTGTAGGTGGGATTCATTACGGCTGCCGTCTGGGCAATATTTCAAGCTAGGTGCTTCCTACCAAGCGTATGAGCATCGTTCAGTGATGCAACTTCTACCATTTCTCGTCTCCTCGCACATCGCGCAACCGCAAATGGACGCTATCATTTCGTACCTCAGCTGGTACTCGGAGTGCGCAAAGGCAACAACATACGACGACAACACTCTCAAACGGTTGCAGGAACTAGCAGTGAGGTAAGAACACTTACATGTTTGGAACGATAGTTGTTATTCTCAGGTCCTTAACGCATGTTTGTGCTCTCCCCTATCTGCAGGATGATCAATCAACTAACAACCGCGTTTAAGCAAACTTCAAATTGGAGATTCATCAAGATGCACCTGATAAGTCATTACGTCGAAGCTATCCGTCGTGCACGTCCACCTATCCACTACGACGCCAACATTTCCGAGTTCTTCCACAAGGACCATATAAAACGGCCTTATCGCGCGTCCAACAAACGTGACGTTTCAGGGCAACTTGTACGAGCAGAGGAGAACAGACTTGCAGTGGATTCTCTTGGTGCATCTGAAGTGACAGAGACACATTACAACACCGCTATGCGCGAGGTGAGTCAAGTGTCAAAGCTAGCAGGAGAAAGTTTAGAAGCAGAAAGAGGGGTTGCACTAGCAAGCAGTTGAGTACATATAGGAAACCCTAGATTGGGCTGTACTCGCTATAGAGTACCCCACTGCAGGCTAGACAAATACAACATTCTGACATCAAGACCCTTTGATGCAAATCTCAACAATCGCTAGCGCCATCACTAAACGCTTATCGTTTCAATGCGCAGGCAATGGGCACTGGCAGGCGCATCATGTCTCGATCGCCATGGCCTTTGACTGTGTTGGAGGGCCGCCGTGAGGCACCGTTCATAAGTTTCCCAATTCCCTCCAAGGTGCGTGACGAGAGATACGTCACCGCATTGAGCGACGACCTCCGACACCTAAGGCAAGCCCTTAACCGATTCTTAGAGGCCACAAAGAACGCTTCTACCATATATGTGCACAATGAGCTGGCCATGCCTCCAGCTACCCACCCATCGTTTAGACCCGTTCTACATCGCATACGTGCCGTGCCGGTGTTTCACGGACGTGGCTGGTTTTCCGACGTAGCCATTCATGGCTCCGGTGAGTGGTATGCGAAAGTACTCCTCCTGTTTCACATTGGGCATGGGAGGGATCGTCGCGACTATGCGTTTATCAAGTATTACGATGAACTTCGCGACCCCGACGAAAAGACCCATTGCAAGCAGCTCAAGTGGGCTGTAATGAATCAGAGGTACCGGGTGGTAGAAACCACGAGTATACTGCGTGCCGTTCACCTTGTTCAGCCTCAAGCTAGTGAACCTCTCTGGTTGTTGAACCAATTTATATTTTGAAATGTTGTACAATATGTTTTGTACATATTTGTTCGATTTTGTACAAGAGATGCTCCTAGAGTTTGTAGCACACAACCTGATAAATCATGCTATAGTTATGTTAAGCCATTTCCCATATAAATAACTTTCATATTGTAGTGCACATTCCAAACTATGCATATACTGTATGTGAGAGAATGACGAGGTGCCAAAACACGGTTCATTCTGTACAACAGCAAGTTATCTGTATCACCCGTGTGCGACTACGTGCAGCGGCGGCGCTATCTTGACAGTATTGAAAGCAGCTATTTGGTGAGTTCGTTGATATGCCACGTGGCGAGACCCTTCACAACTGGCTATGTAACCACAAAATTGATTCTGTTTGCCTCCAGAATTGTCGCTGTGTAGAACGTTCGATGGCGCCGAGACATCGCCACCAATCCGACATGTGGTTCGCAGTACAGCCTGCGACTCGCACTTGTCTGCGACTCGCACGATTCTGCAACGCATGATCGCTTCATTTTTTGAATATCTAATGAAATCGGTTCGTTACCTGTGTTGAATCGGCATATATGACTGTTTGTGCAACCGATCAATCGTCGCACACAGTTTTCCAACCAACCCCCACAACCGTTCCCGCACGCTCAGCATGGCCAACCAGCTCGCTGCCACTGGTGCCCTATCCCAGGCGCGCGTCAATCAGGCTCAATGTCCCGGTCGCCCACAACGCCAACTCATGACTTCAGTTCGCCTGAATGGTCACGACACTACTGGTTACAAGCCACCAACGAAGAAATCGGGGGGGTCCGGCACTCGTCAGGGTGCTGGTAACAAAGAAATTCCTCGCGACCCTGAGCTGCAGGAAATGTCACGTGCAGACCTTGCTGCGCTGAGGGACAGGCTGAACGCAGAATTGCAGCGACAGGAAACCAGCACTCAACACCAGTCACTTCCCCAAACACCCACTGCAGAAACAGCCGCCGAGGAGGAGTTGAACAAAACTTCCGCAACTGCAGATGTTGCCGCCGATTCCTCTCAGCCTGACACTGATCAGGACGAAAACACGCTTAACGCTCTCATCGACGAGGGCGAAGGTCCTGGCGAGGGTGAGAAGCAGGACGAGGGAGAGGGACATCCCGACGAATGCGAGTTAGCCGAAACGCCCATTGCGCTGCCTCAGGACGATCCAGCCGAGGATGACCGTCCTGAGAGTCGAAGGCGCACTGCCGATGTCGCTGGCCTTATGGGCGGCGACGCATGAGCTCACGCGTCAGCGCGTGGAAAAAAAACGAAGCAACCAGGTTAGTGAGCGCTGCCCGGTTTTTGTGTCTGGGTCAATAACGTTTGTGCCAAACATTTACGTCCACGAATCCTACTAACCTAGTGTTGTTGTTTTTTTTTTTTTTTTTTTTTTTTTTTTTTTTTTGGCATGCAGGTCGACCGATTCCAGTTGATGAGCAGGTGGCACAGAACCGCGACATGGAGCGTACGATCGCGCATCAGGCCGACACACTCGCGGCCCTCCGTAGGCAGCTGGAAGAGCAGGAACAGGAGGCTGCACAAATGCGAGCAGTCGTTGCTGCTCGCCAGCCGCCTGCCCCAGCACGGACTAGCCCCGGCCCATCATCTTCGAACAGCCAGACTACCGGAGCTGGTTCTGGATCGCTGCACGCAACAGCGCAGCGCAGCAGCCCGTTGGCGACCACCAACGCGCCTGGGCCAGCGACGGCACCAGTCGTGCGGGAGGGTGCGGCAATCCCCCCTGTGCTCCTGGACCTTTCGTTTTTCAGAGTAAGTCTTGCCAGATTATATCGTTGCTAATTTCTTTGGTGCCGTGTGTTTTTTTTCCGTAAACACATGTTTCGATCAGATTGACACAAGATGTACACAATCGTAACAACTGATTCTATTTTTTACGCATGTTGTTTGTGCAGCAAAAGTGCAACGACGCAGTGAACTATTTCATTGCAGGTGCTCCAGCGAGTGAGCAGACCTTTTACCCCACCCTGGCACAGCTTAGGCACAAGGTGCAGGAGCTGTACGAAGATGTCGGCGTGCCTGCTGACATGTTCAACCGTGTGATGGCCGACAATCCGGAGCGCGAGAAGATTCCGTTACAGAAAATGTCGGAGCGCCGCTGCAACATCTACTCGGCCACCAAACCATTCGCCCATGGCCCTGGTGGCTTTGTGAGTGAGAGCAAAGTGGCGCTGCTCGCGGGTGAGAACATAGCGCCCACGAGACGACGCACTCCTTCAGAGTGGCACGCACACTTTCGCTATGGTGAGTCTTTTATTCACTGAAGTAGGTTCAATTTTCTGCCGTGAGGGAATTCTGAAGTCATACCTGTCCAT